CCCCCCCCTTTTGTCCTATCTGTTATTAACTCACGTATAATAAACATATATATATATATATATTCTCATACTCTTAAATACAGAAGCATTCCCTAAATCCGCTACACATCAGGTATAGGCCCGTACAACCTATAACTTGATATGTGCAGGGCATGGGTTACAATTTCTGAAGACCGGTGAGCCAGTGCTATTACTGTGTGGTATCCTCGCCAGCGCCAGCTGGGGCCACCTGTCACACTACACCGGACGGGGCAAGCTGGAAGCAATGAGGCTGCTGCTACTTCCTCCTGAGCAGCCCATTGCGTTGGCATAAGCCGATGGGCTCCTATTCCCCCTATCACCTCTGTTATACAATTTTAATGTTTTATGGATAAACTAGATATGTATCATGTTTGTGTAATACACCCGCTACACATCGGACATAAGTCCATACAAAAAAATCTTCTCCCCGGGACCTCCATATCAACCTATGGTCTGATATGGAGTTCCCGAGGGGATGATTTTTTTTGGGAAGTCCCAACTTTATAGCCCCTTACTCCTCTCCATCTTCTTCCCACATATCATTCACTCGACTAAGTGCCGTGTCGTCGCGATATTCTTGGAAGATTCAAGATAACATGGACAAGGGAAATGGACCCTGCGATGAGAGGTAAGTCAGCTAACCTCGAAGTACATATTTATAAAGTGGACGTCCCTCGAATGGTACCTTCGATACGTCATTATTCTCTTTATTATCATTACGGGTAACGGCACAATTAGACATCCCGCTCTTAAATTGATGGGTAGAAATACTATGGGCATCTAGAACACGGTCCTTCTTGTCAAAATGATAAGCATTCAGAGCACATTTTGACTGTAAATTCATTAGAACTACAACAAGTAGTCAAAATATTCCTGGCGACGAGCTCCCTCATATTACGGCCCACCCATATTGTCAACATATAACCCATAGTTGGGTAAGCTCAGGGTGTTGATATTGCGCCTGAATACTAAGCACTCATTTTATTTATCTCAGTTCCGAACAAAATTAGGGCATCCACCACCCGGGTAAAAAAGACAAAAACCCAATAATAGGATCTCGAGGATTGAGTATGTATTAATTTGCTCAAGGGCAGCTTCAGGCAAAGCGCCCTGCTGCTGATCCTATGCGTTCATTGGTCATATAATGTCCGGCATAGCACGTGAAGTGCGAGGAAATGATTTAAAAACTTAGTTGATTAGTCATATAATAAGTGTAGAATAGGCGCTATGAAGGAAAGCTCTCATGTTATAATAAAGAGAAGAAAAAGAAATAAAAGCCTTATCCCCTAATTCCATTATATGCATTTTTTCCTATAGACAGACAACATCGTTAATCAATGATTATTTGAACTTCTGGTCTGGGAGCTAGTCTAGAAGGTAGGGACATCGTACAAATTGTGGCTAACGATAATACAGTTTCTATATATAAACGCCGATATAATTATCAGGAATCGATCGCCATTATGACGTCACTTTTAGAGAGCCCCTCTGTCGCTTTTCCATCCCTCCAGGAACTGATATGACAGGCTTTTCAGAGCATGCCTATAAATTAGAAGTAGCTAATCTCATCCTCCCATTGTAACAGGATACGGTGAATGGCTCGTAGAATTCGAGGACCACATAGTGAGCAGATCAGAGAGACTGCTATTGAACAATTTGTACCCGTTCGAAATCGAATATCTCGAGGCGAGACTTCCGGTTGATGCTTTACAAATAAGCCTTCCTTCACTATCCAACGTTCAGCAGC